AAGGAAGGAAGGAAGGAAGGAAGGAAGGAAGGAAGGAAGGAAGGAAGGAAGGAAGAAAAGAAAGAAAGAAAGAGAAAGAAAAAAATGAACATTCACTCTAGTGTCTAACATAAGGCTATGAAATGGTAACATCTGGAGCTTAAGTGAAACCTTCTAACTGAAGCACAGGAGCAAACGTAGCCAGAGTGGAGGTACGCCTGGCAGAGATTAGCTCTACAACTGGAGATGGGACTGAAAGGCAGACTTTGCAGAGGAACAACGGACAGAACCAAACTGAAGGAGGGAGGATTAAGGGCCACTATGCACCACTGTTGTGGAATGGGGAGGTTAAGGTTACTTCCAAGGATCTCTGAGTACTCTGTTTCTACTAAAAGAAAATACTGGGGGGGCTGGAGAGATGGCTCAATGGTTAACAGTACTGGCTGTTCTTGCAGAAGACAGGGGATGGATTCCCAGCACCCACATGGCAGCTAACAACTATCTATAACTTCAGTTCCAGGGGATCCGACACCCTCTTCTGACCTCTGCAGGCACTGAACAACATGAGTATACTTACATTCAGGCATAACATTCATACACATGAAATAAAAATTTTAAAGATAAAATAAAGAGAATACTGTACATAAAAAGGACAGGATGCTGGGCATGGTGGCGCACACCTTTAATCCCAGCACTCAGGAGGCAGAGGCAGGTGGATCTCTGTGAGTTCAAGGCCAGTCTGGTCTACATAGCAAGTCAGCTGGGGCTACAGGGAGACCCTGTCTCAAAAAGACAAAAAAAAAGAAAAAAAGAAAAAAAAGGACAGGCACCAGGAAACAGGCAGGTGATGGCTGCTATAATCCTTGAGAAGCCATTTCACTGTATTTATGAGTTAAGGAAGGTAGAGAAGAAAGCCAGGTATGGTAGGTAACATATGCTTGTTATCCCAGTACCCTGGAGGAGAAGCAACAACATTTTCCAAGTTCAAGGCCAATGGAGACTACATAGTGAGTACATTTGAGGCCAGCCTGTGCTACATATGGAGATTCTGTCAGGAGAGGAGAAGGCTTGATAAAGGAGAGGAGGGGAGGGGAGGGCAGGGAAGGGAGCATGGCTCTGTTTGAGGTCTCTACAAAAGTAACAATTCAAGAGTATCTCTCACAACTGTCAGCTTCTTTCAGATATAAGTAAGGTTTATGAAGACACAGGTGAATTTTCCAAACATTTCCCTGCTTTCTGTTCATGAGAATGGGAAGAGGGTTAAAAGTTCTCTTGATTAACTTACTGTTATGCTAATACAAATGAAGGCCAACTGTTAATAAGAAATCTGGGTTAATGAGGAAAAAGCAATTCTTTATTCTGCTCTTGCAACTTTTCTGCAGGTTTGAACTACCTTGAAATAAGGTTTCTAGAAAGTTATGTTTCTTGCTTTACTTACCCACACACTATCAGTGGCATGACACACCTGGATTGGCTATACTGCTCTTGGCTATGGGTCTAAGAGGTAAACCACTTGCACAGGCAGTTCAAGTGAGTGGAGGGGACACCAACCTCCCTGCCCTCCAGCGGTTTAGGTCCAGCACAGCTGTGTAGAGCACATCTACCAGGCCCAGGGTCTTCTCAGGATCGAGGCTCCTCTGCAGTAGAGACATGGTTGCAGGGTCTTCCTTCAGGCACCTAGACACAAACCACGTCACATTAGTCTTGGCCATATTTCTCTGCAAATGTGTTAGGAGTAAGCTTTGTGGAAAGGCTACAACTTGCATACTTTTAGCAATCAAAAGTCAGTGATTACATGAATGACAAGGCTAACACTGGAACCTCTCTGCAAAAGGCAGAGGAAAAAAACAGCACCACAGATCTTGTGACATAATAATAAACACAGATGCCCCTCACCTCACTATGGGATTCAGTTTCTATGAAGAGTATATTTAGATAACATTCAGGGTGGTATGACTATGTAGGAGCCTAAACTTGCATCATAAGATGAAAACATCAAAAATGCATGCTAAAAGCTGGGCATGGTGACATACACCTTTAATCCCAGCATGGGGAAGACAGAGGCAGAGTTCCAGATCAGCCAAGGCTACAAAGATGACTCAGTTGGTCAAGTGCATGCCACCCAAGCAAGAGGACCTGAGTTTGGATCCCTAGAAACAAGGTAAAAAGCCAATAATTGAAGCATGTGCCTGTAACCCTAGCCTGGGGTAGGGACCGTAGAGACGGGAGGATCCCTGAAGCTCCCTGGTAAGCTAGCCTAGCTGGATGGATGACCTTCAGGTTCAGTGAGAGAGACCCTGTCTCAAAAAATAAAGGGGGAGAACAACTGAGCAAATACTCAGATCTGACCTTTCATACAAGCATATGTACACCTGTGTACACACCTCCTAACCCCCACACCTCACCAAAAAAATAAAAGCAAGGAAGGCTGAGGCAGAAGGATGGCCTGAACTTCAGAATAAGACCCTGCTAAAAAATTTGTTAAGCATCTAGTACACATCTAACTTAAAGAAAACCTCAGGTGCTTGAGAGATGACTCAGTAGTTAAGAGCACTAGCTGCTCTTGCAGAGGACCAGGGTCCAGTTCCCATCACCCACATGGCAGCTAACAACCATCTGTAACTCCCATTCCAGGGGAATCTGACACCTTCTGACTTCTGTGGGCATTGCACAACATGAGTGCACATACATACATGTAGACAATGCATACACACACACACACACACACACACACACACACACACACACACAAAACCTCAGCTGAATTTGGTTTACTTTATTCTCAGAATATGTACATTAGTCTGCAATTACACATCAGTTGATACAAGCTTCTTCTTATAAAAACTATTGACTATCCCATGTAATTTATTGAACACAGCAGTCAATGTGAGCATGCTTTTACAGGAGCTGGACACCATCAGTATATATTTAGTATCTGCCTCCAGTTCCTGATACAGAACTAAAGCCCTTAGAATTTCCAGAGCGATAGGGATGTCAGGAGCAGCTTTTGCTCTAGTATTTGGTTTCTGACCCTGGTCCCTGTCACAGAGCTTCTAATTTTTGCAATTTCCAGGGTGACGGGGTGCTTTTGCTAGTGCTGGGGATGGAATCCAGGGGTGTTCCATAAGTATCTATAACTGGGTTGCACCCCCAGCTCTATACTGTCTTTCATTCTAATGAGATCACTTTTTGATGGGCTCCTTCCTGGGTAGCTTCAGAATAGGGGTTGGTCACCAGAAAGAGCAAACCATCAGCAGAAGCTTAGGAGGACCTTGAGCCCCACTTCCCCAATCCTATGGAGTTGAGGGGAGGGAGAGCTCCAGAGCAAGTCATTATCAATCTTGCCTACATGATAAAGATCACTAAACACAGGTTCAGAGAACGTCTACGCTGGTTAGCACTCAAGATGCTATCAAGTAGTGGGCACACTTGGGGAGGGTGGGGATTTGCACTCTTCCAAGACAGCCTGTCCAATGTGTTCCTTTCTGGCAGTTCATCGTTCTCTGTTGATACCCTTTAGAATAAGCCAATACATGTAAGTAAATGTGTCCTTGAGTTCTAGGAGCCTTTATAGCAAATGATCAAGATGAGGAAGGAATCACTGGAACTGTTAACTTACAACTGATTGGTTAAAAATACAGGTGATATAGCCGGGTGTGGTGGTGAATTCAAGGCCAGCCTGGTCTACATAGTAAGTTCCAGGACAGCTGGGGCTACAGGGAGACCTTGTCTCAAAAAGACCAAAAAAAATTACAGGTGACATACTGAGTTCGAGTTATTTTTTAAAAAACATTTTATTTACTATTTTTATTTTGTGTGTATGAGTATACTGCCTGCATGTATGTGAGTGCACCCATGTTGTGCAATGCCCATGGAGGTCAGAAGAAGGTGTCAGATCCCCTGGAGTGAATTCTTTTATTTTTCTATTATTTTTATTTTTTATGTGTATGAGTGTATTACCTGCATGTATGTGAGTGCACTCATGTCGTGCAATGCCTTGGAGGTCAGAAGAGGGCTTCAGAGTACCCTGAAACTGGAGTTAAGGATGGTTCGTAGCCACCATGTGGGTGCTGGGAATTGAACCTGGGTCCTCTGCAAGAGCAGTCAGTGCTCTTAACTGCTGAACCATCTCTTCAGCCCCGAGTCATTTTTTTTTTTTTAAAGACTTTATGCGTATGAGTAATTTGCCCACATGTATGTAAGTGTATCACATGCATGTAATGCCCGTGGAGGCCAGAAAAGGGCATCAGATCCCCTGGAACTGTAACTGAAGTTAAGGACAATTACTAGCTGCCATGTGGGTACTGGGAAATGAACCAGGGTCTGTCCTCTGGAAGAGCAGCCATTGCTCTTAACCACTGAGCCATCTCTCCAGCCCCCTGGGCTTGAGTCTTAAGTGGGAAGCAGATTTGACAGAGCCCTTAACCTATTGGGTTTCTGTTAACTCTGAGTAGTTAGCATCAAAATTAAAGTGCAGGGCAGCCAGTGTGTGCAGAAAATTGGGGAACTGCTTAGTGTAGGAAGCCCAACTTCTGTTATCAGAAGTGTTCTGTGAACGCAGGACTCTAGGCCTCCATGGGTTTCTCTGTCCAGTCTGGCAGGAAGAGGCTAATGGTTAGTTTTAATTCTGAACTTGACACAATCTTGAATCACCTAGGAAGACAGTGTCAAAGAGAGACTGTCTAGGTCAGGCTGGCCTGTGGGCATGTCTGTAGGGAACAGTCTGATGCTCACCGATGCGGAAAGACCTACCCACAGTTGGCAGCACCATTCCTGGTGCTGGGTCCTGAGCTGTGTAAACATAGAGGGGGTTGAACACAAGAAAGCATGCATGTGTTGACTCGCTATGCTCTTAGCTATGGATGTGACCAGCTACCGAGCTCCTCCCGACTTCCCTGCAATGGTGGACTGTAACCTGGAACTGCAAACCGAGTCTACTCTTTCTCCCTTAAGGTTGTTTTTGATGGTATTTTATCAGAGCAACTGAAAAGGAAGCTAGGACATCTTTCAAAGGGCTGTCTTCAGGGGTCCTACTGCCCAATACCCATTCTACCCTGACTTCCCTCTCTGCCCACTGCAACCCCATGGTCAAGCACGGTATCTATTCCTGTCTAAACTTTTCTACACACTCCTCCCTTCCCTTCCTCCACAATACTTCACACCCACATCTAAGAAAGGAGTATCTGGAGGCTAAACACTCTCGGCCTTCTGTCACCTGAATTCAACCCAAATTTCTTTGAAGCAGCAAACATGGCTTCCCCTTTACCTCTTTTTAGGAAAACTATTGAATAAAGACCCTTCTTCCAAAGCTCCAGCGTCAACACTCAAAAAACTGAGAAAGTATGTGCAAGCACATGGACTCTACGTTTATAGCTTTAACCATCTTCAGTCTTGACCAATCCCAACAGATCACCTGCTTTCACTGCAGGCTGGCTGCCACCAGAGCATGGGATGCTGTGATTGCTTGATTGCTCTAGCCTTCCCAAAGAAAGATCCAACCCACTTCTCCCGTGACACCCATTCCCAATGACGACAAAACCAGCCTCATAAACCTATTTCACATTCCTCTCTGAATACAGCCCCACTGTCTGCTTTCCACGCTTGCCACTGTCTCCTCCTTTTCCCACTCTCGTGCTATTCCACGCATATCTGGCTTTCATTCCCTAAATGCTACTAAAATAGTTTTTATGTATGTTTGCCTGTTCTTTTGAGAGTCTTGCTATGTAGCTCAGGTTAGCCTGGAACTCAAGATCCTCCTGTCTCCACCTCCCAACTGTGGGGTATACAGCCATGTACCACTATGCCTGTCTAAAATGTATCTTTTTAAAAATATTTTTATTATTTTTAATTTTATGTGTATGAGCATACTCCCTGCATGTATGTAATTGCACCTATGTCATGCACTGTCTGCGGAGGTAAGAAGGCGGCACTGGATCGCTTGGAACTGGAGCTATAGAGGCTGTCAGTCGCCATGTGGAGCGAGCTGGGAATCGACCTGGGTCCTCTGCAAGAGCAGCCAGTGCTCCCAACCATTCAGCCATCTTTCCAGCCCCTAAAATATATTTCTTAACCTCTACATTTCCTAGATATTTTTTCAAAGTTTTCTTTTTTTTTTTAATGTGTATGTGTGTGAACCTACCTAGGTATGTATACATCATGCATCCAGGAGCCTGTGGAGAACAGAAGGCCTGAAATTACATGCAATTGTGAGCTATAAAGGTGCTGGGAACTAGACCCAGATCCTCTGTAAGCAGTAATCACTCTTATCCACTGAGCCATCTCTCCAGCCTCCATTAAAAAATATATATATAATATATATATATTCTTTATTTTTGGTCTTTTTGAGACAGGGTTTCCCTGTAGTTCCAGTAAAACTTCTTTTAAATTTATTTTTATTTATGTGTATCTATGTGTACCTGCTTGTCCTTTGTGTACCACATACGGCAGCAGTGAGCTTCTTGATATGGGTGCTGTAAACCGAGCTTGGGTCTTCTGCAAGAGCAGCAAGTATTCTTAACCACTAAGCCATCACTCCAGCCTTTCCTAGCTCTTTGAAAAAAATTATTTATTATTACAATGTGTATATGATGGGTGGGGGTGCACGTACCACAGCATGTGTGGGGCTGTCAGAGGATAACTAGCACAGAATTGGCTCTCTCCATCCACCTTTAGATGGC